ATTCTGTAAGTCCCTTCTTTTTTGATACTCACACCATAGGTGCTCCATAAAGGGTAAGCAATGTACACAAATGACCCGGGTCCTCTTTTTTTCCTCATTTGCTTAGCTTATTTCTGATTGTAATTGGCAAAGTGAGGGGACATTAGGACTGTGGGTGGGATTCCACTCTGATGCTCCGAATCCCAGGCTTGTATTACATTGTTGACACAAAGCTTAGAGGCTGCTGCTGCTTCTGCATGAGCTGGACCATTAAGCACCAGCCAATCATTGCCAAAGCTTGTTCCAGCCACAACTTTGGTGGACACCAGCAGGGCTTTGATTGAAATACCACTGATTCCAAAAGGGGAGAGGGCTACTAAGAACTGGCCTAATGGAAGCTTAGAATTCATTGCCTCAGGTATGAAGGAACAATAACAGTGGAAGTAATGAATGCCACTACAATCCACCACCAACCCACCCCAAAAAAATATTACACAGAAATAATACACCCACAGAAAAAAGACTAGAGTTTAAATTACCTCTTACCTTAACACTTACCTAACTTACCACCTTAACTCTTACCTCAAGAAGAATCCTCTCTGCAACATCGAACAACATCCAATTGAAAACCTACAGTGAAAAGAGACTCATCCCTTTACAGGCTTCACATTCTACTTTTTTTTTTGCCTTTTTTTTTTGATGAGTCAGTCGGGGTTAAGTGACTTGCCTAGGGTCACACAGCTAGTAAGTGTCAAGGGTCTGAGGCCAGATTTGAACATATTCTATTTTTTTACACTCTATTATAATTTTTTTTCTTTTATGAACAGAAATCTGATTCTTCATAACTTCTACCAATTGCTTCTAGTTTTTTTCTTTCACACTCAAGGAGAAAAATTCTAATGGAATGGTTAATAGAGCGCAAATCCAAGATGCAGGAAAACTCGGGTTCAAATCCTGTGTCTGAAACTTACTAGCCTGTGACCATGGACAAATTATTTAGTCTCTATAAATCTTAGTTTCTTCATCTATAAAATGCAGATAATAATACCTCCATTACCTACTTCACAGGACTATTGTGAAATAAAATGTTAAGTGTATGTTAAGTATAAAATATGTATAAGTGTATAGTAAGGACTATATCATTACTTATTAGTAGCAACATATTATTATTATCAAGTACAATTATCATTACTGGGATGATGGAAGGCAATTTCAGATGATAATTTCTTGGATCCTGTGTTATACTATGCTAGACCATCCACCCATGGGAGTGAGGACCTTCCCAAAACAGCAATATTCTAAATGTATTAAATACAAACACACACATTCATACACATATGCATGGTTATACTCAGGTCAAATCATTATCCTAAGTGCTTGATAAATGCTTGTTGACTTGACTTAATTTGATTTCTATATTCAGTGATGTCCATGATGTTTCTTCCACCATAAAAATAGAAAAACATAACATGAATGGAATTCTTATCTCCTGACACCAAGATTTTAAGCTTCTTCTCCCTAGTTTGATGTCTGCTCAAGAACAGACATAAAAATAAGAAATGGTAGGCAATCTAAGAATGCTGGAGATAACAGGTACACTAAAGTGGATTTAGAGTAGAACTCCACAATTTTCCCTCCCAAATGGTTGAAAAGAAAGAGGGCACTGCATGAACGTGGACCATTAGCACCACTGCAAGAATCTCTAGAGTGGCCTTGAACTGAACAGTTCCCACTTCATTGCTTTTCTTGGAGGTGAAACAATGTTTACCAATCTGTCAGAGGAACTGGGAGGCTTAATTAGTGTTTGCAAACAGCTTTGACATTCTTGAAAGAAAGGTGCCACCCAAGTGCAGGCCATTATCATAATCAACTGGCACCTTAAACTCTCATAACGTGGTACCAGCATCCTCAGAGGTAGATTAGAGTGAACCAAGGACCAAAAGAAGCTGACTCTGTTTCTCAGGGTGGAAAGATACCCCTTAGATAATTCCTTAGATAATCCCTTAGATAATCCCTCCCACTTTCTAAGAGGCATATTTATTTTCTACAGACTTTTCAAAGGCTTCAAGAAATTGCTTCCTTTCTAACATGCACAATAAAAATATAAGCCAACCTTCTTCGCTTTCAAAGGGATGGTCCATTGTGTCCTGTTATGACTGCCAGGCCCTGTCAGGCTTTACTCCCATCTAGTCAGGCAGGAACCTTGGCTCAGTCACTGGTCCAAATTTGGAGGTTGCCAACAGCAACCTGGCAATCATCAATTTAGTGGCCTTGCCCGGGCCTCATGACTAACTAGCTGTGTAACCTGACAAAATAAGCTGCTGAAATTGCGAGAGCCTCAGCTTGCCCATCAAAAAAGTGGAGAGCATAATATCTTCACAATTTCTTTCAAAAGGTTGATGTGGAAAATGAGATGATGAGGCAAGGATAATTTAGAAACTATTTGATTAAAATTTATGGTAATTCAGGTGGCATCTCTGAAATTTAGATGACTAGAGTTTTAGAAATGGAAGGGACCTCAGAAAGTCAACCCAAGAAAACCTTTCTTAATTATCTCTGACAAAGCGCTTAGATAGCCTCCACTTGGAAACCTCTGGTGTTGGGAAGACAGAAAATTTTACTTTGAGACACTTCTAATTATTAGGAAGTTTTTCCTCATGTCAGGCTAACAATTTCCATACAATGTTCAAGAACTGGCTTCCGGGGCCAGACAAAACGAATTTAATCCCTTTTCCATATGATAGCCCTTCAAATAAGTGGAGACATATATCTCTTCACCTCTAAGTCTTTTCCTTTCTAAAGCTAACCATCCCCATTTCTTTCAATTAGTTCTCATATGTTAAGGTTCCTGACACTCTCCCCACCCTAGCTAAGCCCCTCTAGATGTATTCTAGCTTATCAATGTACTTCCTTAAATGAGATGTCCAGAACTGAACAAGGTGACTAAATATGGTCTGACCAGGGCAAAGTATAATGACACATCATCTCTCTTGTTCTGGAAATTATACTTGTATTAATGCAGCTTAAGATCACATAACCTCGTGTGACTCTCCTGAGGTACAGTAGTGTTATCTCACATTTAATCTGTAGACCACTAAAAAACTCCCAATCCATTTCATATGAATTTCTGTCTAGCTATGTCTCCCCTAACCTGAACTTTTACAATAATTTATGAAACCAAAGCTTTATATTTGTCTCTATTAAATTTCATCTTATTAGTCAACTAAAACATGCTAGCCTATCGAGACCTTTTTGCATCTTGTTCCATTTATTCAGTATGCTAAATACTCTTTCCAGATTTGTGATACCTTCATATTTCCTACATGTGTCATGCATTGTTAGTGTTGTGGTTCAGACATAATTCAGTCATATCTGACTCTTTGTGATCTCATTTTGGGTTTTCTTGGAAAAAGATACAGGAGTGGTTTGCCATTTCCTTCTCCTCCTCATTTTACAGATGAGGAAACTGGGGCAAACAGGGTTAAGTGACTTGCCAAGGGTCCCACAGCTACTAAGTGTCTAAGGCCCGATTTTTATTCAGGAAGATGAGTCTTCCTGATTCCAAGTCTAGTGTTCTATAAACTGTGCCACCTACCTTTAACCAAATCAGTGATTTAAGAGGTTGACTAAAATAGGGTCAAAAAAATTCCCTAAGATATTACACTAGAGATTTACCTCAAGCTTTACATCAGTTTTTTAATGATGACTCCTTGGGTCCAGTCATCCAATGAGTTCTAAAACCATTTAACTGTGGTTTTTCAGTATCATTCAGCTATCTTCTCACCATCTTTCCCATAAGGATATTAAAAAACACCATGTCAAATACCTCACTGAAATCTATTTTATTGTTTCTGTTGTATGCTAATCTACCAGCCTAGTCATCCTATCCAAAAAATGGCGGGAGGAAGGAAGTGAGGTTAATTCAATATGATCTATTCTTGATGAAGCCATACTGATCTTAAGAATCATTACTCTTCTCCTTAGGTACCTGCAAACCATCCTTTCAATAATCCATTCTAAAATTTTCCCAGGAATTGAAAGCAATAAAGCTTATAGTTTTTTGATTCCACTTCTATCCTTCTTCAAAAATTGAGGCATGTCTTCCAAGTCTGGCAAATCTCTCCTTTTCTCCACATACTTGTAAAGATAACTGACAGTTGGGTTAGCAATCACATCCCTAACTTTTTCTCCTAGATTAGGATATATTTCCTGCAGGCTTGGTGACTCAACTCATTCATTTTGTTTTTCAATTTTCTTTTTTATTTATTTATTTTTAGTTTTCAACATTCACTTTTATAAGATTTTTAGTTCTAAATTTTCTCCCCTCCCTCTTCTCCTCCCTCTCCAAGATGATATGCAATCTGGTATAGGCTATACATGCACAATCATATTAAACATATTTCCACATTGGTCATGTTGTGAAAGAAGAATCAGAAGCAAAAGGAATAACCATTGGAAAGAAAATAAAGAAAATAGTATGCTTTGATCTACATTCAGATTCCATAGTTCTTTCTCTGGACGTTGATAGCATTTTCCATTTTTAGTCTTTTGGAATTCTGTTACATCATTGCATTTTTTGAGAGGAGCTAAGTCTATCAAAGTTGGTCATTGCACAATGTTGCTCTTATGTGTTCTCCTGGTTCTGCTTCACTCAGTATCAGTTCATATAAGTCTTTCCAGGTTTTTCTGAAATCCTCCTGCTCTTCATTTCTTATGGAACAATAGTATTCCATTACATTCATATACCACAACTTGTTCAGCCATTCCCTAGTTGATGGGCATCCCCTCAATTTCCAATTCTTTGCTACCACAAAAAGAGCTGCTATAAATATTTTTGTGCATGTGGGTCCTTTTCTCATTTTTATCATCCCTTTGGGATACAGACCTAGAAGTGGTATGGTTGGGTCAAAGGGCATGCACAGTTTTATATCCCTTTGGGCATAGTACCAAATTGCTCTCCAAAGTGGTTGGATCAGTTCACAATTTCACCAACAATGAATTTGAGTTCCAATTTTCCACATCTTCTCCAGCATTTATCGTTTTCCTGTTTTGCAGTTTTTGATTTTCTGTTAACTATTTTTGTTTTATCATTACCAATCAGACTGCGGTTCTTTCTGGTAGAGAAAACACAAGCAAAATTAGAATTGAGAATTTCCGCCTGCTTTGTGTCATCCATTATCATGGTTCTCCCACCCCTTCCATCCAATGTGTCCTATTCCTCCTTTGAGCTTGGTTTTTACAACACGGATAAAAATAATAATAATTCAATTCAACTAAATTCAACAAACATTTGTTAAATACCTGCTAAGCTCAAGAATTTGGGCCATTTAAAGCACTGTATGATTTACCAAAGCAATCAAGATTTTCTCTTCAGATTTAATTCTGGACCCTGTTTGATGTCTATTCAAAGTGTTTTTCCAAGATATATGCACTGATCGACCAGCAATATGGGTTTTCCAACCAACTGCATATAATAGTCTGGACAAGAAGCATTCTTCATCTAATTGATTTTTCTTACATGGACAGTTAGGCTGAACTTTTGGAGTGATAATGGATCTCATTTAGGAGACTCTGTAATATTGCAGGGCTCAAAGCAATCAGCACAATGCCAAATGCAAACATCAACAGTTGAAGGACCTCTTCACACAAAGGGAATCCCTTTTGCATTTGGATTCTGGATTAGATACTCTCCATGACAGCAGCAAACAGCTTTTATGAACATTCATCTTCTTTTAAGACTTGTTTGATGTTAACAATCAAAGGGTCATTGAATATTTATTTCATAGTTTAATTTATCAATGAATTGTGTATGATTTTGGCTTATTCATGGGAGATATGTTATTGGAGGAAACTCTTGAAGAAACATTTTGTTCTGCCAAATCAAATTTGTTTATATAGTCAACAATGAACACAGTGAGGTTTTATATTCTCTACCCTTTAAGTCAATTGGTTAAAGGTAGGAGCTATGCTATAATTGTTGCTGTAAAAATATGTTGTAAATTAAATTTATATTTTATGTATCTTATAATTGAAACATGATAATGAAATGTACTAATAGAAATATAATATAAATAATAAATAACATTTATATAGAACATTAATGTCTGTAAAGCACTTTACATGTATTGTCTCATTTGATCTTCACTTAACAACTGTGTAGAATAGGTGTTATTATTATTACTATTTTACAGAAGAGAAAACTGAGGCTAAGTGATTTGTCCTTCGTCACAAAGCTAAGTGTCTGAAGTGGGATTTCAACTCTATTTTTGAGAGTCAGAATCCTGACTAAGTCCAACACTCTATCAACTATTTCACATAGCAGCCTAAAGGTGGGTCTTGCTGTTCAGTTCATAAAAAATGTGTGGAGCTAGAAAAGGCATATGGATAGGTAGTTATTGATGTTTTCTTGGTTGTCTTGGTAGGGATGGGGGGAGGGTAAGAATAAGATATAAGTTGCTGTTTCACTTCTCCAAGCATTTGGTATCCTCACCCTCTTTTCATCTATCTCAAAAATCAATCGTTTAGCATGATCAAAACCATGTGATGTATAGCATGAGCCCACCCCTACGTGTACTTGGTCTAGTCCAGCAGCTGCACTCACCTCTGTTTTCTTAACTGCCAGGCCTACTTCTGCATGCCACCTCTCAGATGTAACTTTCCCATTGAAACAAAGGCCTCTCTGTTCAGCATCAGTATTCTTCTGGTTGTGTTACATTACTGAAAGTCACGGGATACCATCCTCTCCAGAAATTCAAGTCGTAGGTCACCCAAAAGGCAATGGAGAGGCACATGAGAGGTGTAAGGGGCCTGAAATATATTACCAACAGAGAAATATCTATGAGAAACAACAAAAAAAGTGTGAAAGTATGTGTAACCAGGAAAGAAGGCAGACCCATCATGTAGTAAGGGGAGGGGATGATGGGCAGCCCACTTGTGCCACTCCTAATCATGAAATGTCAAGGAGTCTACAGCAAGGCCCCAAGAATATTGATTGAACCCCCTGTGAAGGACTTACGTAAATGAACAAGGGGGGGGGAAGTGTGCAATGGTTATGATCTGAGCTTGTGAAGAGAGCTTTGGACTATCAAAGTATTTTCTAGGTACTAGTAACACAAAGACAAGAAGCAACAGTCTCTACCCTACATCTTTACCGAAGGGACAAAAATCAATTCACACATCCTTGATGTTCCTCACTAGTTCAGCTGGTGCTTAATTTTAAAACTCCTGACACTGTCCTTTTAGGGTCATGCCCAGTTAACTCTTCTCACTCCCGTCTTTAGTATCTGTCTTTTTAACCACCGTGTTGGTCAAAACATTCCCTGGGCATCAACATCAATCTCTTCCATTTCATACCTGTATTTTTTTCACTGTCAGATTTTTATAGTTGAAAGCAATCTATGCCTCTTGAGCCAACTTCAGCAGTAGAATTTCAGGCCATGTGATCCTAGTGATCACTTATCTGAATTCTGAAATCCACACTCCTCAAATCTAGGGCATGCATTCCATTGTCCCTGGCTCTCCTCGCTTTATTACAAATTCTAAGGATATAGTGGTCATTTGCACTTCCAAACTTCCTGTCATTCTGACTTTAACAAATAATTATCCATTATTGGTTAAAATTGTGTCTAGAAAAGCAGTTCCCTCTGTTGCCCCACCTTTCAAAGAGTAAAATATCATTAAGGTAAAATAAGAATTTGTTGGCTTCTTTTCTACTAGTAGAGAGCTCCAGCAAACATCCAAGTAGTAGATGTACCCCATCACAACTGTACTCTGCCTCTGTGCCCACATTCTTGATCTATTTCCCAAACTCAGTTTCCATTTCTTCTTTCTGGCTGAATGGTCTCTAGCATACTCAAACCATAGTATTGTTTCTATTTCTCACTTCTCACATTCAAAAGTTTTCACCATGCTTCCCGTCTCTAGTCCTTAGATTCCTGTCCGAAGCAGATAGTCTTGTGATACAATTCTACTGCATGAGCCTTTTTTTCCTATCTCTTACTTCTGGACTACATATTCCCTTGCATCACCATATTCCTCAAAGTATGTTCCCTAAGTACATTTAAAAGGGAGGTAGTTGCAATGATCATATAACCCTATGAAGGATGAACTGCATCTTAGATCATAATTTTCAGAGGTGGAAGCCACCTTAGAAATCATCTGGTCCTACTCTCTCATTTAACAATTGAGAAAACTTAGGTCTAGAGGGAATAAGTAATTTGACTAAGGTCATACAGCTAGTAAATGATGGAACCGTATTTGAGCCCAAGTCCTCTGCCTCCCAATCCATTGTCCTTTCTGCTGTACCAATTTGTCTCTTATTTAACAGTGTTCTACAATTCAGACTTTTCCTTAATTTCCATTAATGTCAATGCGGGGATGCTTTAAGTACTCTATCATTGCAATGTGTCATTTATTATTGCCATTGGGAGGAGCAGTGAGAGTAAGAGTGACATTATGGATAGAGAGCTAGTCTAACAGCGACCCAGGCAAGTCTCTAAGAACTTAAGTTAAAGATCATGCATCACCTTGGATTTTGATTAATAGAGGGGCTTACATACCAGAGATTCCCTGCACTGATTAATCCACAGATAATAGAGGGGCTTGCATACCAGAGATTCCCTGCACTGATTAATCCACAGATAATTTTATTTTTAAGAAATAGTTATAATAATTTTAATTTATAAGTTTAATAATTTTTAAAGAAATAGTTATTAATAATTATGATTAATTTTTACATACTGCCTTAAGGCTTTCAAAGCATTTTTTGCAACAACCCTATGATGTTGGTAGTATATTTATTATTACTCTTTTTTTATAGGTGAGGAAATAAACTCAGAGGGGTTAAGTGATTTTCTATAGTCACATAGGTAATATATGGAAGAAACAGAATTTGAACTCAGATCTTCTGGCTCCAACTCAAGTTTTTCTCCTAATGAGGTCATGCTGCTTTTAAAAAATAGTGGCAAAATGGTAATATATTTGTTTCCTCTGTATTAAACCTTCAGTGCAGTAGTGTAGAGAGCTGATCTTGGAGGAAGATGACCTGGGTTCAAGTGCCACAGTTGACACATACTGGCTTCCTAGCCCTGACAAATTACTTAAACTGCCAGTGCCCCAGGTCACTCCCTAAGACTAGAAGTTACAGTACAGTTGGAGATCAGCATTTCATAATAAGACTTCTAATAGCACATATATATATATATATATATATATATATATATATATAATATATATATATATATATATGTATCTATGTATCTATGTATCTGTGTGTATAATCTCATTTGAGCCATATCAGAACCCTGTGAGATAGATGCTATTATTAAAGATGAGGAAACAGGCTGAGAGGTTAAAGCAACTTACCTAGCATCACAAATCTAAGAAAACATAGACCTCAAACCTAGTAAGAGCCAGGCTTGTTTTTGAAAGACAATTCCCACAGAAACTCTGGCTTGTGAGCTGTTTATATCCAAAAAAGAAGCATGTTTTCTGGTGCAGAAAAAGAAATTACTTTCAGGAGTTAATAATGTAAATGTCTGGTAGAGAAAGACACTAAGCTTCCCTTTTCTGAAAAGAAAAATATTTATGCAAGTGTAGAAATGAGCTTTTGAGAGATAGACGATGGACCTTGAGACATGCCAACCAAGGACATATCCAGTCTACTTTAGTTTGCTAAGGAAAGAACTGATATTCCTGAGGGGGAAAAAAAACTTGGGGTGACCTTAACCAGGAAATGGATCTACCATCTTTGTACTGCCTCCAGATTACAGTAGGCATGCAAGAAAAAATAAATCAAATTCCATTGATGGATTACTGTACTAGATCTCCTAATTGGTCTTCCTGCCTCTAGCCTCTTCTCTTTCCAATCTATCTCACACACCACTGCCAAATTAATCTTCTTAAAACACCACTTTTCATCTCATGACTGGCCCGCTTAAACACGCCTACAGTGGTTCCCCATCATCTACAGAATAAAATCCAAAGTCCCACGTGGAATTCAAGATCCTTGCCAATCTGACCCCTGTTTATTTTTCCAAACTTCTCCTTCATGAGTCCCTTACATGAATTTCTATTCCAGCAAAACTGGTTTATTCATTGTTCCCTGAATAGCATGAATTCTCTCCTCCCTATCCTCACTTCTCCACTTGACTGAGATGCAGATTAAATCTCACTTTCCTCCTGAAGTTTTCCTGACTGCTACAACCCAGAGGGATTCCTCTGCCTCTTCTGAACTTAAGTAGCATTGATTTTCCATTCTGTCCATTTTGTATATCAATAAATCAAAAAATGCCTTTTATTACATGCCTCCTCTGTGCCGGACACTGTGCTAGACACAGGGACTACAATACAAAAATAAAATAATCTCTGACCTCAAAGAGTTTAGATTCTACAGGGGAAGGCAAGATGTGCATATATCAGGATATACAGAACTAATAATACTAATAAAATAATGACAACAACCACATGTATATAATGCTTAAAGTTTGTAAATCACTATTACATATGTTATTTTATTTGATCCTCACAACAACTCCGTTAGGTAGATGCAATTATTATCTCCATTTTACAGATGAGGAAACTGAATCTTAACTGACTTGCCCAGGGTTGCAGAGCTAATAAGTGTCAGAGGGCATATTTGAACTCAGGCCTTCCTGATTCCAAGTTCAGAGCTCTTAACCACAATACTGCTCATAACTGCTTCCATATATAAAATAAATACTTTTTTGCAGTACTAAATGATGCCTGTGTGAATGTTGGTGAAATAACACAAGTAAATAAAAGGGCATTGGTGGGGGAAGGGGAACGCTGAATGAATGCAAAAGCATTTATTAAATCCTTAATATAAGCAAAAGCTGTACTCTGGTGGAAAGAGGCACTAGAAGCCTCATACTGAGACAATCTCCCCGACTAGATTTTAAGCTTTTTGAGAGAAAGAACTCAAATCTTTCTTGCCCTCCACAGATCTTATAATTGTTCACTGGGTGCACAATCATTATTTTGTTGTTATTGTTCAGTCATTTCAGTTGTCTAACTCTTTGTGATCCCATTTGGGGTTTTCTTGGCAAAGATACTGGAGTGGTTTGCCATTTCCTTCTCATTTTACAGATGAGGAAACTGAGGCAAAGTGCAGAATCAGTATCCAGTAAATGTTTGCTGTTGATGATATCTATAGTGAAATTCTAATGAGGATAATAATATTTCACAGTGGAGCCTTCTGATAGAAGGCTGGTCTTGGATTTCAAACGGCTTAGGTTCAAATCCTCCTTCCAACACACTCTAGCTATATAACCATGAGCAAGCTATTTAATCTCTTGGTGAGCCCAAGCAACTTTCCAAACCCGTAAGCTACATGTATCGGTGTGATATGCAATGGGGCGATAAAGATTTCCATACTGGTACTTCCCTATACTAATAAAATTATAGGTCAAGCCTCCCCCACTACCCATCCCACCAAAATAAATAAACAATTTGTTCAAATCCTATAAAGTCTTTACCTGGCTCAGGATCATTCAGCGATTCTTTACCTCAACCTATGAGTTGTCTAGGATACTGAAGCCACAGTGCATCCTGCCTCCCCTAGGCATGAGTGGGTGTGAGTTGGGAGTATGGATTGTGACCAGACAATCAACAGCTCACAATGGGAATGATTCTCCCAGGAGACAGAGTTACAGCCAGCTCCAGCTTTCCACTTCTAGGCACTTGGCTGTAGACACCTACCTAGTGGCAAAGGCCCATCCTGGAAGCCACAATTCCACATTATGGTTGGTCTTCCGGGAAAGGGAACTTGGCAAGTCCAGTTTCCATGGTAACTGGGCTCCCAGCTTTAATATTTCCTATTTAGGATTTTTAGTTTGGGGGTTGCTTTTTTCCCCCCTTAACCTCCAAATGTGAGAGAAAATTCCCACCAAGGAGATGACGGGAACATAAACAGTCCTACTGGGTTCAAGGACCTAGAAAGTAAGGGGATTTAAAGGTCTCCAACTCATAAAATGCTGGGGAGAAATTGGCCTCTCAGGTCAAGGACATTAAGTCTGTGGTTGCAGGAGGCCCATGGGGACCCTGCTCAGTTTCTTTGTTTGCACATTGCCACCAACCAATACTTCATTTTACTATATCTCATGGAAGATTTAGCGTGAAAAGTCCTGCATTTCTGGAGCCAGGACATATGTTTAAGAAAGTGAGAGGCTGAAGTAGTTCTACTCATAATGAGGACAGGCCTTGGTCCTGCCAATCTCCCCCCAGTCCCAACATGAGCCCTAACATGGCCATCCATTACTGACATGAAAAAAGACAGATTTCATGTGCAGGGCTGGCAGTGGGAGTGGGAGGTGGAAGAAGGAAAGTATAAAGCAGAAGGGGTCATGTGACCACATAAGCATGCATAAATATGAAAATTGAATGCTATTTCCTAAACCATCTTAGATTAGTTGCTCCAGCCAGTTTCACTTCATCATTGAAAGAGATAAAGCAATGGAGCTAGTAGTAAAGATGAAATCCCCCAACACACACACACACACACACACACACTTCCTTCCAGAGCTGCTGTGCAAGCAGGGTAGCTTTGGAGGATTGAAAGCTGTAATGAAAATGGAGTACCCTAACTTTGCCAATTATCGCAAGAATATTGCTTATCTCTCCTGTTAACAGTTAAGATGCCTTAAGGGTTTAGATTAGAGGACAAACACATGGAAAGAGAGAAAAGTTATTAAATTCTAGACCTGACACTAGGCATAAGGAAGGAACTTTTGATAAACAGATGAGAAAGACCATGTCGATCTTAGCCAAGAGATCAAGTTGATAAGAGCAGCCATCACCACAAGACACCTGGAAACAACAAACAATTAAAAAAACCAAAAAGACCATGGTGCATTCTGCCATACTTACAAGAGATCTTTTGAAAACATCACCCCACAAGCAGTTAACTCCTGAGATGAAGTCCCCAATAATTGCTTTCCTTGTGGCATACAGCTGCACGTGTGTGGCGCACATCATTTGCTGAGGACATGATAATAATCTATCAGTTCTCTGAGCTATAGAGGGAGCCTATAGAGATAATTAGCTCAGGCACACAATGATAAACATGTCAAGATAGGAGAAACATTTCTTTCCTTAAATAAGAAATAAGGAGGTGATGGGAAATGATGTGCCATGGTGGGTGAACAATATGCCCACCATAATCCATCTTCTATAATAAGCAGTTGCAAGATCTGAATCTGTCCATATGGAGGCATGTACATGAGGAGAAAACCAAAAACATGAACTTGGACATGGAATTTCAAAGTCATCTGATCTAGTTCTCTGTCTCCAGGCAAGACTGCAGCCAATACAACTTTATTTGGATTTTACCATTCCTAGAAGGGTTTGTTTCCTCTTCTCGCTTCAAGATCTCTCTTCTGCTCCCACTGCTCCACTGGCACACTCTTTCAAAGCCACCAGGAACTGGCAATCACCAAATCCCTTATTCTTTTCTCATTACCCATCCTCCTTGACCTTTGTGCAGCTTTGAGCATCCCTGAAACTTTTTTGCTTAGTTTCCATGACATTGTATCATAGTAGTTCTCCTTCTGCCTTTTTAGTTGTTTTTAATTTGCTCCTTCTTTTTCTTGCCTCTTCGGTGCAGGTATTCCTCCAGATGTTATCCCTGAGCTTCTTGTTTTATGCCCCTTACTTGATAACCTACATCTCATCCACATCCATAACTTCAACTGTCACCTCTCTACAGATAACTCCCAATTTCTCTATCTCCAAACCTAATCTCACTCTGAACCTTAGTCCCACAAGGTCAGCAGATGGGGCACTGAACTTGGAGTCAAGAGGAGCTGGCTTTAAATCCCTAATCAAGCATTTACTAGCTGATTAAGTGATCTCAGGAAAATCATTTAAACTTTCCGTACTACAATTTCCTATTCTGTAAAAAAGAAGGGGTTTGGACTTGATGGACAATCATAAAGGTGTCTTCCTGCTGTGAATATTTGATCTTATTTCCACTGAAATGTATCCCCAGGGCTCTGAAGAAGGTTTTGCAAAAGAAATAATGAATAAGTGTTTGGTCAATTAGATTAGATTTCTTCCTGGATACTTGATAGTACCTCAAACTTATATTTATACCAAATCTGTTCTTTCACTTATTACTCTCCCAGTTACCCAGACTTAAAATTTCAGAGTTCTATCTATGTCTCTTCCCTCACATCCCATACCCCATCAAGTGTTTATTCTAATAGATTCTACCTACAAAATCTCTTTTGCATATTTACCTTCCTCTCCATTCTTATCATCACTATACTTGTCCAATCCCTCTTTACCTTTTGCCTGGACTATTGCAATAGCCTCCTGTCTTTCTACTCTCCAATCAACTCCCACATTAATTTTACCAGAGAAGACCTAATCACATCAAACTCTTGCTAAAATCTTCTATGTGTCTCACTATCTGTCAAGTCAAATTAAAAAAAAAACTTTATTTAATCTGGCCTTCTAGGACCTTCAGTGTATGACTAAACCTGCCTTACTAACCCCATGTCCTTCCACTCACACTATTTTATTCACTGTGCCCCAAATATACTGCAGGCTTTCATGTTTCTACATTTTGGCTTAGTCAGTCCTTCCATGTCTCCACCTATCAACATTATACTAATGTTGTATGCACTGATTTTTGCCCTGAGATTTGAATGGGACTTCCAAGAAGAATTTGACCAGACATTCAATGCAAAGGCATAGACCTTATTTGATGAGTTTAAGGGAAGGCTGAGAGAAAGTGTGGCTAGAGATCTGACTCTAGATTTAGGAAGACTTTGGTTCAAGTCCCATCTGTGATACATACCTGCTGTGTGACTCTGAGCAATTCACTTAACCTCTCATTGCCTGAAGCAGAAGGCATTGATCTGAATTAGAAGAAAGAATTCTCACTTGGAGCTCCCTATGCCAATTTTTTCAAGGGTGAGAAGGTTGGTAGGGAGGAGCTAGCCAAGTCCAGAGAGTTAGTGATGAGCTTGAGAGGGGAATGATGCTTTACAGGAAGGAGCAGAGTTTCACTCAGGTTTGCCCAATTAGTTTGTTACTTTGATGCAACAAGTAGGGAGGTGCTAATTAATAAGGTTTCCTGAGAGATCAAACTCATGGCATGGAAGAGTCCAGAAAAGGGAAGGTGTGACAGGCAATAGGGAAATGTCTCACACAGAGACATTTTTCACAAGATAGACCAAGCCCCTCAAAGCATCAGCTCAGCTGTAATCCCCTCAAAGGACCCTTCATTAACTTGTGATGCCCCTCCCCCCAACAGTATGTGGAAGGTGTCCCACAGTTTAATGGCCTTTTCTCCTATAGTACTTGCCACATCCTACCTATAGTTTTAGTAATTTCTGGACCTATTTTCTTCTCCTTGTTAGATTGTAAACTCCATGAATGCATCAATCATTTCTTACTTTCCTTCTTAATTCCCTCAGTGACTAATATGGTACCCTGTACAGAGTAGGTGCTCAACACATGTTTAACTGAATGAAGTCAGGATGTTTTCCTTGCCACATGGGCTTCACAGGTATGGGTCCTTTCCACATTAACCTCATACAGAGAAAAACACAGACTGGAGAAAGAATGACTGAAGCTAGCATTGACATTTTTTGTCATTTGTCTTCAGGACTTTATGAACTGGCCAACTCAGAAGGGCAAGTGGATGAAGCCAAATATTATTGCTCCATGAAAACTACTTTATATGATTGCTCACTGAAATCATGTAGAAACACCTGCAACTCCATCCACACCTGGCTACAGTAAATAGAATTTTCCGTAGAAGAAAAGAAAGCTTTCTGGAAACTAACTTTTAATAATTTGTTTCTGTTTCCATGACAAAATGAAGAATTTATAATGCCAAACACCCACTTAGCAAGAGCCTCCTAATTAGTCTCCCTGTTTCCACACAGCTTCCAAATTGATACTCCTAAAATAGATCTGGTCATATCACTCCCTACTCAAAAATCTTCAGTTGCTCCCTATTGCCTTTAAATGAAATACAAAATCTTCAGCCTGGCATTTACAATCCCCCACAATCTACACCCCATACCAACTTGGTCAGTCTTATTTCATATTGCTCCCCTGCAGGCACTCTCCATGCCCATAAGAACAGTCTTGTAGCTTTTCCAAACTCATGACATTCCATTCCCCACTTTCATTGCCTTTGCATCGGTGGTCACCAGATTTGAATTTGTTTCACCTTGATCTCAGGATCCTTAGCTTCTTTCAAGGTAGAGGTCAGGAGAGCTCTTGCAGGGACCTTTTATGATTCACCCACTTATTACCATTCTCTCCTTCTTGAAGTTAATTCATATCATTTTGTATATACTTTACATCTACTTACTTGAATACATGTTGTACCCATTTAGTAGCTGGCTCCTTGAGGGCAAGAGTTGTTTTGTTTTGAGTTTGCATCCCCAGTGTCTTGTCCGTAATTCAATTGAATAACATTACTGATGAAGTAATCAAAGTTCTCAAAACACCAAGTTTATTATACTTCAGGATTTGGGTGGGGAGGGAACAGGTACTACACCTGTGATTTCATTGGTAGAGGGAACTGCCAGGTAAGGAAACTTACTCTACCAA